ATGCAGTTGGAAGATTTACATGTCTCAATTTCAACTTTCACTATGAAGCTGCAATAAATAATGTGGTACTGACATAAGGACAAGCGTTATAGATAAGTAGAATAAAACTAGAACCCAGAAATAACCCATGTGTGTGGTCAATTGATTTTTGAAAATGATGTTAAGATCATTCAATAGTGAAAGGATAATATCTTCACTAAATGGTGTAGAGACAATTCAATATCTTTATGTAAAACAGTAAAGTATCCAAACACCATATGCTAAAGGTTAAATGAATCAAACACCCAGTTATGAGAGTAAAAACTATGACACTCTCTCAAGTAAACATAAAGGCAAGTCTCTTAAAAAGATTTTATGTATGTGAGTGTTTTGCCTGAATATATATACATGTATCACATGCATGTATGGTGCCCATGGAGGCCAGAAGAGGACATTAGATCCCCTGGAACTGGAGTTATGAATAGTTCTGAGCCACCATATGGGGTGTTAGGAACTAAACACAGGTCTTCTGCAAGAGTAACAAATGCTCTTAAGTGCTGAACCAGGTTTCCAATCCCAAAGGCAAATCTTTAAATTTTAAAACATATTATTTGTATGTGTATGTGAGCATAAGCATCTGTGTGCCATGACAAAAGTATAGAGATCAGAGGACAATTAGGATACTGTTCTCTCTCTTCACTATGGGTTCTATGGCTTGAACTAAGTTTGTCAGGCTTTGGTGTCAAGTGCTGTTACTTTCTGAGTCATCTTAATGGTCATGGATAAATCTTGTTTATCTTGGACCCAAACAATGAATACAAATTTTGGCAAATTGGAGTACATCAAAATTCAATACTTGTGTTGACCAAGGGATACTATCAAGTAAATGGAAATAACTTAAAGAACAGGAGAAAACTTTGAAAATCTCCTAAGGGTCTACCTATCTGTAACTTTAAAACTGAGCAACAGAACAATCCCATCAGAATATAGGTAAATGACTTGAATACATTTTTTCCAAAGAAGATACACAAATGCCTATACATATGAAAAGCTATTCAGCACCACTAGTCATTAAGGAAACGCAGATCAAAACCACAGTGACATACCACTTCATATCCATAGGATGATTGTAACTTTGAGAGCAAAGCAGAACAGAAATCCAGAAAGTTTTAAGTATTGGTGAGAATGTGAAGAGTTCTCACCATGTACTTCGCTGGTAAGAATGTAAAACAGTGTAGCTTCTGTTGAAAACAGTTTGGTAGCTCACAGAATTATCACGTGACCCGGTAATTTCACCCTTAGGTATTTATGCCCCAGTAATTGAAACATGGTTTCAAATATTTAATGTTTATAGTAGCTATATTAAAAGCAATACTCTTAACAGTGGTCAAAAGATGAGTACCAATACATGAATCAACAAAAATTGTAATAATATACAGGTGGGTTTTTTTGACATAAAAAGAAATGAAGTAGTGTCACAATACAATTTAGATGAAACACGGAGTTAAGTGAAAGAAGGTAAACATGGAGGGTCATGTTGCATGATTGCATTTATATGAGTTATTCTGAAGAAGTTGGGCATGGTGACTCACACCTTGTAATTCCAGCACTTAGGATCATGAGACAGAAGAATCTCTACGAGTTCAAGGCTAGTCCAGCTACATTGTGAGTTCAGAACAATACACAAAAAGAAATAACCTAAAGAAATAAATCCGAAGAAACAAAGCAAATTAATGATTTCTAGGTGTTAGAGAGGGGTACTAGAGCTGTTTGAGTGCGAGGTTTCATTTTGAATTGTTGAAAATATTTTGTGACTAGGTAGAGGTAATTGTTGCTCAATACTGTGTATGTCTAAATGCCACTGAGTTGTGCATTCAAAAATGGTTAATACATTATTACAAACTTTGCTTCAATTAAAAACTATGTCATACACTTTCTGTGATCTCACAAATGACCATGGCTTGCTGTCATAGTTACCTTGGGGCTGTTTGAATCCATGTGATTTTGTAGTAGTGCTCCATTGGGACATTCTCTCTAGCTCTGGGTGGTTAATCTCAAAGATAGATGGTCCCAAGTGAGTTTCTTCCTGTAATAACAATTAAGGAATATAGTTTTGATATATCATTTTTATTTTCTTAACTTTGGAAAGCTTCTGCCTTGCATGGGAACTGAGTTATTTAAATGTAGTCTGGTCTGACATTGATCAGCTTGGAAAGACATGTTTGAAACAACTTTGTGTTATTTGGAAATGCAGCAAATTTTGGTTTTATGAAAGTGTATAGATGTTTTCAAATACTTAGTAATAAATGCAGTTGCAGTGGTGTTTTGTGGCTCTTTCTGTACTATGTTGGTTGAAATGTTAGTTTTTTTTTTACTCTACAACCAATGTGAATATTTTTGTTGTCAATAGAATCGGTGTTGTATAAGAAAGCCTATTTTCAGTTCAATGGAGCAGAGTTGTACAAAACTTAAGCACGTTGATTTATCTTCCACCTGCTTTGTGGTTTTGAAGGATGGATTTTAAGTTGCATTCTGTCAGTGGAGCTAAAGGTGAAAAGAGCTTGTCACACACAAGTGCATGTGTGTGAGTCATGAAGTTTTTCTTCATGAATGAGGCCAATGTCTTCTGGCTCATAGTGACTGCTCTATTTTTTGAGTCCTTGCGTTTTCAAATGTGTTTACGTTAGTATCTTGTGTACTCCCAACTAATGCTTTTTATGACCCAAATACACCACCCAGGCTAAGATTCTAGAGCTATGAAGCGAACAGTATTCAATTGGTCTGTAGTGAATCGAGCTGAAAGCTTCATACGTTATTAGAATTGTGTACCAGACAGCTGAACTGGAAAGTAAAGACAAGTCTTGCTTGTTTTGTAACTTTATAAAGTTAGAGGCAATTTGATAAACATTGTGTAACAACTTACGATAACCATTGCTTCTGATTTTCACATCATTGGATTTTTCTTCTTTTATTTAAAAATTACTTATTTTTATTTTATATGTACAAGTGTCTTGTCTTCCTGCATGTATGTCTGTACCACATGTGTGCCTGGTGCCCACAGGAGAAGATGCTGGATCCCTTGGAACTGTAACTACAGATGACTGTGAGCTGTCATGTGGGTTCTGGGAACTGAACCCAGGACATCTGCAAGAGTCTCTTAGTCACTGAGCCATCTCTCCAGCCCCCAGATTTTCTTTTTCTAATGTTTATAGAATAATTTTATAAAATAAGAAAAATTGGAGAATTATCAATTAGGTTTTTAATAGATTGTAAATTAGGAAAAATCTGGTGACAATTTCTGTAAGAAAACATCCCAGCAGAGCAGGGAAACAAAAGTAAATAGGGATGAAACTTTAACTTACTGGAAAATTAAAATTAAATTTGCTCAGAAATGTCTGCCTGTGAAAAGCATCATAGCATACACTACATGGCTAGAATAATGTACTGAACTCCTCTTTGTCTCCATTTCATCATCTGGGCAATTAGAACGGTAGAATTTATGTACTAAGGTCATGGTAAACATTGTAGCTGGAGCTCCTGGAGCAGGGCGTTGATGCAGTGGGAAAGACATGAGTGCATGTTAAGGATGAAGGAATGCTGGTAATTACGTGATTTGTTTGTGAGGGTCAAACCTGTTCATATCCAGAGATGTTCGCAGTCCTGACCCCTGTAATGTAACAAGGTGTGGATGTTGGAAATTTCATGCCCTTTTACTAGTATTCTTACTTTGGGTCCATTTTACTGATAATTGGCATTTTAACCAAGGAGAATATTTTGGTAAAGGAACATAGAACTAAAGAGCATTGTTTTAAAGACTTTTCTAAGTAATTTTAAGACCTCATAATGTATCTTTGGTCGTTTTTTGTTGAAAAGACTTTGTTTTATTCATTCACAAAGAATTACCATGTGCCTAACATTGCTCCTGGGCACAAAGGAATGATGTAGATACAAGGATCAGAGAGGAGAGAAAGTGAAAATAGTTGCTTGGCCTAGAACTGAAGAATATGAACTGTGTGTGTGTGTGTGTGTGTGTGTGTGTGTGTAGAGAGAGAGAGAGAGAGAGAGAGAGAGAGAGAGAGAGAGACTTGAGTTTATACTTAGGAAAACCTTGGAACTTTGAAGGAAGAACATAAAAAATTAGCACATCCTTGGGTTGTCCATTCTGGAAGTTGTAAGGCCACATATTCATCAGCTGATGATAGCTGCCAAGTCACCTGAAGCTTAGCCAGACAGGGAGATTCAGAGATTTATATGAATCATATTGTGTTGATGGCTCAGCTCACTAACCTGTGTTTATATGCTCCAGTCTCTGCTTCAAGAGGTCAGAGCTCACTTTAGTGTTTGAGCAGCACTTGTAGGAGCTGTAAATCACCATGTGCATTTGGATAACCTCGCTTTTCTCAGTGTGCCTGGTATATGTGCTATAACATGAATAATAAAGGCCAAAGACAGATATTAAGGTTAAAGCTGAAGATCAGAGAAGCAAACTGTCCAGTCACTAAAGAATTCTCACCTCTACCAATGCTCAGACTGAAGGGGCAATCCACCAAACCTCAGAGTGCTCCTGACTGCACTGCTCCTCGGACTGCACTGAGCTCCAGTCTCCTCCTGACTTATATTCCTCTCCCCACCCAGCCATATCACTCCTGTCTCCACCTCCCTGGTGCAGGATTAAAAGCCTGCCATCCCAAGTGCTGGGATCAAAGATGTTAGCTGTTTCTCTTTTAGATTGATTCACTCACATGTAGCCCTTAGTGGCCTTGAACTCACAGAGATTCATTTGCCTCTGTCTCCTGAGTGCTGGGATTAAAGGTATGTGCCACCATTGCCTGGCCTCTGTGACTGTGGCTAGCTTTGCACTCTGATCTTCGGGTAAGCTTTAGTATATCATAAACAAAATATCACTACAATGTACAGAATTGTGAAAATGAATTAGGAAAGACTAATGAGAATAGATAACTGGGTGTCCTAGAACATGATTTCCTTTCTCAAGAGGTAATGGCATGATGCTTCTTTTACAGGACTAAATTGCAACTGCAGAGGCAATAAGTGACTCTTTAAAGATGGCACAGCAATGCAGAAAGTGAAGAGGGACCTGGAGAGGATGATGAAGTGAGAAAAATGTTTTTCCCAAGGACGAGAAGTATGTCTCTCTCTTAACAAAATTCTTGCTGTATCCATTACAAGATTGTAATGCCTAAGGTGTTATAGCCATGTTTAGTTTTTATTACTGTTAAACATCTTTTTTAAAAAGGGTTTTTGGTGGTTATAGTGGTGTTAAGATAAGTCTCATGTAGCTTTGGCCTCCACCTCCAAATGCAGCACAAATAAGCTATTTGTTTTTGTTGTTTTCTTATTTCATTTTTAAATTTTTATTCTTCTCTCATATATTACATCCTGACTGCAGTTTCTGCTCCTTCCCCTCCTCCAAGTCTCTCCTTCCCACCTCTCCTCTCCCCCAGATCCACTCCTATTCCCCTTCTCCTCAGAAAAGTATAAGCCTCCCAGGGACATCAACCAAACACAGCATAACATGCTACAATAAGATCAGGTACATACATACCATTACATCAAGACTGGATGAGGCAACACAGTAGGAGGAAAAGGGTCCCACAAGCAGGCAAAGGAGTTAGAGACAGCCCCTGCTCCCACTGTTCAGAATCTCACAAGAACACCAAAGTACTCAGCCATAACATAATATGCAGAGACCCTAAGTCAGACCTTTACAGGCTCCCTGCTCTCTGAGAGCCCCCATAAGTCCTGGTAAGTTGATTCTGTGAACCCTGTTCTTGTATCCCTGACCCTTCTGGTTCCTCCAATTCTTCCTCCCCCACCTCCACCCCCGCAGGACTTCCCAAGTTCCTCCTCATATTTGGCTGTGGGACTCTGCATCTGCTCCCATCAGTTGCTGGATGAAGTCTCTCTGGACTCTTTGATATCGATTATGATAGGCTTTGGTTCCAGAATACTCTGTAGGCAGGACAAAGGGTAGGCCAAAGGTTTTGTGGCTGTGTTGGTATCTCAATATCTCTCTCCACTTGAAGCCTTGCCTGGTTAGAGAAGATGGCTGGTTCAGACTCCATGCCCCCATTGCTGGGAGCCTTTGTTAGGGTTACTGGGGTAGATTCCCTGGAGTTTCTATAACAATAGGTTTCTACCTCACTCCCAAAACCCCACAATTACAGTTGTTTCTCCCAGTATTTTCCCCCACCTGGCCCCTCCTGTTCTCAACTCCACCTGCCCCCCAGTTCGCCCTGGAAATATATTCTATTTCCCCTTCCCAGAGTGATCCTTGCATCACCCATAAACCTTTCTTGTTACTTATCCTCTCTGGGTCTGTGAATTGTAGCATGATTATCTTTTTCTTTACAGCTAATATCTACTTATGAATACATACCATGTTTGTCTTTCTGGGTCTGGTTACCTCAATCGGGATAATTTTTTTTCTCATTTTATCCATTTACCTGAAAATTTCATGATGTCATTATTTTAAATAACTAAGTAATATGCCATAGTGGACTACATTTTCTTTAGACACTCTTTAATTGAGGGACATCTATGTTACTTTCAGTTTCTGTCTATTATGAATAAAGTAGCTGTGAACATAGTTGAGTTGAGTAAGTGTCCTTGTGGTATAATTGAGTATCCTTTAGGTCTTTGCCTAGGGTGGTATAGCTGGGTTTTGAAGTAGATCAATTCCCAATTTTCTGAGAAACCACCATAGTAATTTCCAAAGTGGCTGCGCAAGTTTGCACTCACACTAGCAAAGGAGGACTGTTCTACATCATTATTAGCATGAGCTATCACTTGTTTTTCCTTAGCCATCCTAATAAGTATAAGATGGAATCTCAAAGCTATTTTGATTTGCATTTTCATGATGGCTAAGGATGTTGGACATTTAAGTGTTTCTTGACCAATTAAGATTTCCTCTGTTGAGAATTCTGTTTATATCTGTATACCATTTTTAAATGTTATTTAATTTGTTGATATATCATTTGTTAAGTTCTTTATATTTTTTAAATATTAGCTCTGTCAGATACGGAATTGGTGAAAGTCATTTGCCATTCTGTAGACTGCTGTTTTGTTCTATGGTGTCCTTTGCCTTACAGAAGCTTTTAGGTTCATGAGGTCCCATTTATTAATTGTGAATCTTAGTGCCTGTTCTATTGGTATTCTGCTTAGGAAGTTGTCTCCTGTGTGTTCAGGGCTATTCCCGTGTATCTTAATCTGTGCTTCTATACCTATTTTTTCTTCTATCAGGTTCATTTACTGTATCTGGTTTTATGTTGAGGTCTTTGATCCATTTGGACTTGAGTTTTGTGCAGGGTGATAGATATGGATCTATTTGCATTCTTCTTTATGCCAATATCCAGTTCGTCCAGCACTATTTGTTGAAGATGTTTTTGGAGGAGGGGTTGAGACAGGGTTTCTCTATGGCTTTGGAGGCTGTCATGGAACTATCTCTTGTAGACCAGGCTGGTCTTGAACTCTCAGAGATCCGCCTGCCTCTGCCTCCTGAGTGCTGGAATCAAAGGCGTGTGCTACCATTGCCCGGCTGCTTTCTTTTTTCCATTGTATATTTTTGGCTTCTTTATCAAAAATTAGCTATCCATAGGTGTGTTGATTTACATCTGGGACTTCAGTTCAATTCCATTGATCAACATGTCTGTTTTTATGCCAAATACTATGTGTTTTTTTTATTACTACAGCTCTGTAGTACAGCTTGAAATCAGGATGGTGATACCTCCGGAAGTTCTTTTCTTATATTGATTGCTTTAACTATCTGAGTTTTTTGTCTTTCCATATGAAGTTGAATATTGTTCTTTCAAGATCTGTAAAGAATTGTGTTGGAATTTTTATTGAGATTGCATTGAATCTGTAGACTGCTTTTGGTAGGATGGCCATTTTTACTATGTATGTTAATCTTACCCATCCATGATCATGGGAGATCTTTCCATCTTCTGATATCTTCTCCAGTTTCTTTCTTTAAAGACTTGAAATTCTTGTAATACAGATCTTTCATTTGCTTGGCTAGAGTTACCCCAAGATATTTTGTATTATTTGTGGCTATTGTGAAGGGTGTTGTTTCCCTGAATTCTTTCTCAGCCCTTTTGTCATTTATGTATGGGAGGGCTACTGATTTTTATGAGTTAATCTTGTATCCCCATACTTTGTTGATGGTGTTATCAGCTATAGGAATTACCTGATAGAATTTTGGGGGTCAAATATGTTTATTATCACCTACAAATACATTGATTTTCCCCTTTCCAATTTGTATCCCCTTGATCACCTTTAATTGTGTTATTGCTCTATCTAGAACTTCAAGTACTTAATTGAATAGATATGGAGAGAGTGGACAGCCTTGTCTTGTTTCTAATTTTAGTGGAATTGCTTTGAGATTCTATCTAATTTGATGTTGACTGTAGGCTTGCTGTATATTACTTTTATTGTGTTTAGGTGTACTTGTATCCCTGACCTCTCCAACACTTGTAGCATGAAAGCGTGTTGGATTTTGCCAAAGACTTTATCAGCATCTGATGAGATGAGCATGTGATTTTTTTGCATTCTGTTTGTTTGTATGGTGTATTACATTGACAGATTTTCATATATTTCACCATCCCTGTATCTCTGGGATGAAACTTACTAGAGCATGGTGGATGATTTTTTTTTATGTGTTCTTAGATTTGGTTTGCAAGTATTTTGTTGAGTAGTTTTGCATCAATGCCCATGTGGGAAATTGGTTGTAATTCTCTTTCTTTTTTTGAATCTTTGTGTGGTTTGTCTGTCAAGGTGAGTGTGGTCTCATAAAATGAATTTGGCAATTTTCCTTCTGTTTCTATTTTGTAGAATGGTTTGAGGATTGGTGTTAGCTCTTCTTTGAAAGTCTGGTAGATTTCTGTGCTAAAACCATCTGTGGCCCTCCTGGCTTTTAGAGTCTCCATTGACAAGAAAGGTGAATTGTAATAGGTCTGCCTTTATATGTTACTTAGCTTTTTTCCTCTTGCAACTTTTAGTATTCTTTCTTTGTTCTGTATGCTTAGTGTTTTGATTATTATGTAATGAGGGGACTTTTCTGGTTCAGTCTATTTGGTGTTCGGTAAGTTTCTTGTATCTTTATAGGTGTGTCCTTTAGGTTTGGAAATTTTTCTTGTATAATTTTGTCAAATATATTTTCAGGGTTTTTGAGCTGGAATTCTTCTACTATTCCTACTGTTCTTAATTTTGATCTTTTCGTAGTACCCAAGATTTCCTGTTAGGAATCTTTTAGATTTAACATTTTCTTTGATCAATTAATCTATTTCTTCTTTTGTATCTTCACTGTCTGAGATTCGCACTCCTATGTCTTATATTCTGTTGGTGGTGCATGCATCTGTAGTTCATATTCGCTTACCTACTTTTTCCATTTCCAGAATTCCTCCGGTTTGTGTTTTCTATTTCCCTTCTATTTCCATTTTCATGTCTTAAACTGTTTCCTTCACTTGTTTGTTTGGTTTTTCTTGGCATTTTTTTAAAGGAATTTATTGACTTTTTCCAATTTTTTGTCGTTTTCTCGATTTCTTTAAGGGATTTTTTTTTCATTTCCTCTGTCATCTTCACAAAGTTGGTTTTAAGGTCATTTTCTTGTGCTTCCCTTGTGTTGGAATATTCGGGACTTGCTGTGGTAGGATAGCTGTGCTCTGGTGGTGCCATATTGCCCATTCTCTTGTTGATTGTGTTCTTAACACTGGCATTTAGGCATCTGGGTTTGGGATGATTACGGGTCTAGGTGCTGATTTCTGAGTTTGCCTTTGTTGAATGAATATTTTGTTCCTTGGTTTCTGTTTCCTCTTTGGTCTTCTGGTCTTTGAGGCCTGAATTTCTGGCAGCTAACATGACCTCTGATCCAGTAGGGAGTCTCTGTCCAAACTTGTGGCTAGACTTCTAGTGGCTAGCTAGGACTTTGGTGCAGTAGGAGATCTTTGCCTAAGTTGGGGGGGTGAGGTATGGTGGTCTATCAGGGAGTCTTTTGAGTTTACCTGTCTTTTTCTGGCTTGCTTGGCCTGCACCTGCTCTTCAGACTGACATGACTTGTACCAGTTCTTCTGACTAGTGTGGCCTGCAACTGAGCAGTGGAAGTCTGCAAGTGTTGGGGACAGGAGCACA